TACTAATGACATGGTCAGTTGTAAAATTCCCCATATTCCACAGCTTCAGTTTCTACAGTATAAAGTAACTTCAAGGTAAATGTTGCAGCCTTGTTTTGTTTTTTATATGTGAAACAAACTCAGGGAAAGGCACCCACTCTTGCTAGATTTGTGATAATATTTTACTGTAAAATCTAAAAGCTGCCCACCAGCAGCCTTGGGTTTCCATAACCTGTAAACAACTGAGTTTGAATCCAATCACATTTCTCTTTTTTTTTCTTATTCCAGTACCTGAAAGTTGATATCCAGCCTCATGTGGTAGTCCCAAATCTTGATAACTCTATCTCCTGCAGTGGCTAAATGTTTGCCATCACGGCTGACATCTAAACTAGAACAACCACCACGATGGATGTTGGAGATCTAAGACAGGAGAAGTATATCATTTAGCAGTAGAAAATTGTGATTCCCAAAATTAACTGTTTGCCAGTAGGAAATTCCAAAAATGAGCATTGGAGTGTAATGCTAAGCGAATCAAGAAGCTCACATGGCTGGAACTTAATAAAGGTTCTGTTGCATGAAGCACCCAAGAGTGCTGCTACTCCCTAATGGAAGAAATGCAGCCTTATGATGCTGCTGCCCATTTATACACCCAAGTGAAGAGTGACAAAGTGGAGCAATGTCTTTTGGCTGAGAAATGGAATGGCTTGAATCTGGACCCATAGAACTCAACTATGACAATCACATGTTTTAAACTGATTGGCCACCACATCTTGAGATCTGTATGATACTGACATGTGCCCAAAAATAACAGGGTTGTCACTAAGATTTCAAGTTGCCAGGTAAATACAACAAGTAGGCAGGGAATCAAACGGCTAGGGATTTCTTTTCGTTCTATTTTTCTTCTATTTTCCAATAAAAGTAGCCGGGGGCCACTCTCTTAGTAGCCGGGGAAAATCCCCGGCCCCCAGCTCTTAATGACAACCCTGAATAATGTAATAAAATTATTATGACAGGGCTAGGTGACTTCCTTCACACTGATAAAAAATAAAGCCTTAAGAACCAAGTCCCAGCATCCAATGCAGGTTTAATTTGTTGTTGTTGGCTCTCATCCTTGCTTTAAGAGGTTTAATTTTCGCTGGGAACTCTGACTTTCTTCTGTCATTTAAGACTATCAACAGTTTCCACTGGCCAAAATTCATGAACACTTTGAAAAAAATTCTTTAGAGCTCCAAAGTGTTCTATGGAAAACAAATTACATTTTACGATAAAAAAATGAACACCCAAAGTATGGTTGTTCCAGTTTGAACAAAAACCCAGTCTTAGCATAACTGTAAGTATAAGTAAAACTGTAACTTAACTGTAAGTATAAACAAATGAACACCCAAAGTATGGTTGTTCCAGTTTGAACAAAAACCCAGTCTTAGCATAACTGTAAGTATAAGTAAAACTGTAACTTAACTGTAAGTATAAACAAATGAACACCCAAAGTATGGTTGTTCTAGTTTGAACAAAAACCCAGTCTTAGATTAACTGTAAGTATAGGTAAAGCCAAAATACCTGCACATGAAACAAAAATGTAAAATAAATGTAATGGCAGTTTATCAGTGATTATTATAAATTACAAACCTCACTTAAGAGGACTCCATTATGGGAATCGAGTTTTAGCAGCCTTGTTGTTGAAGTGACAACCAACAGTTGTTTGACGGATGATGGGGCAAAACAAACACAAAAGGCTGAGTCTACAATGGATCTATCTGCAGTGATTGTGCTGATATCCACTCGTAAAACCTCAAAACAGATATGAAAAACACTGTTAGCACTTTAACATTTACACACATTGCCCTCTGTCACATTTCCTGTTATTAAATGTTAATGCCTTTGATAAACACTGACAATCTCATTTCAGTCTGTTAAGTGATGAAAGCATTTAATTGACTTGTTCATCATGCTACAAATTAGTCAAGCCCAACTTTCACCCAATGGTAGCATTTGTTAAACATGTACTTGATTAAAAGTCAAAGTATTTGGCACAAAAGTAGTAATGGCTGGACACCATTTTTACTTTTTACACCATCCCCTGGAGATAACACTGCCCTTTCTACAGGGTCACCCCAGTCATGTGAGAAAAGCCATTCGCAAAGCCACCATCTTCATTTCTCAGTTTATTGGACCCT